AAAGGCTTTACCTGACTCCCTTCGATTTTGACCAAAATATTGTTGATTGATTAGTATTGGTCCAAAAACCACCCCTATTTTATTTTTATTTTTCTGGTGAATTTTGGAAGAGTTAGAAAAATTGTTCATTTTGAACCATTTGGAACGGTTTTCCAAACTTTCTCTCAAGAAACTCTCTTAAGTTACATGGGAGATGGCTCTTAGGTTTAGTATCAAGGAAACTAAGAGAACGAATTATGTTAAAACCCCAACGACCCCACTTTGTTCCATTCCATTCAATCCGCAATAGAGCTTTTTGAAGAAATATGAATACAATTCAGTTTAGAGACCTTCGACATTTTGCAAAATTCCTTTCTGGTTCTTAAAATTAAGTTTGAGTTTAACATTAAAACATATCAAGAAGCTGCGGTAGATATTTTTGATTTGAGGGAAGCGAGCCCAATACCGAATCCCAGAAAGCGCTTCTTTCAGGCGAACAATAATTAACCACCAAAATAGGTAATATCAGTAAAAACCTATGTGATGACAACTTGATTTAGTTTCTGTTGTTACACCTTTCTCCCTTAAACCACTTAGTTCAGAGAAAGAATTGTGAAAACACAAACTCCAATATTTTAAGAAAGTTACGGAAATGACAAATGATTACCTTCACCTAAAACAATTTATGTCATTGTAATTATTGTGAAAAAGTATTGTCTGCTGCTAATTTTATCCTCTAATTTGAATTTCTATGAGATGTACTGGTGACATTATATCAAGAGTACTCCTCTGTCTTTCAAGTTATGACAAAAATATCCGACTGGTTGATGATTGGGGATTGGGTGACTGGATGACTGGATAGTGACTGGAAAATGACTGGATTGAAATCTGTACACCGATTGGTGGAAGTTGCGGCCCCCTCGGGGCGCGCGCATCCGTCCGTCGACCCGCTCTGGGGTGGGAGAGGGAACGCAGTTAGTCTGATGGCGGCGAGATTTCCGGTCACCGGACGGGGGGGGGGATCAAGTAGTGCGAAAGACACGGGCTATCCGAGGCTATCGTCATTTGATCGGAACCTGCTTGTCCCTTAACTAAAAAGACTACACCTCCCTCCCTCCCTCCCTCTCCTCTCTCTCTCCCTCCCCCATCTCTCTCTCATGCAACCCAGGAAGG